CTCACACGGTCAAATGTCGATTTGCCGAACAAAAGTAGCGGACAGTGCATGAGCATCGCAGACTGAAGTGTAGGGCATACAGGGTGGAGGGACTTTGCAAGCATGGCATGGTTGTGGCTTGACACAGTTGGCTGACAGGCATCCCCTCCAGTCTAGCGCAGTGTAGAGCTACGATGGCAGCGCCCATGCGGTGCAAGTGGATCTTGGCACTTCTAGGCGGTTTGCTACTGCGGCCTGCGGTGCAGCGCCTCCTCGGGCACCTGTGCACGTGGCTGGTGCTCTGGCTCCGAAGGCACCGCCGCCGGCACATCCTGTGGCGCCTGTCCTCCGGCCCCTGGACCCGGGAGCTGGCACCGGAGGGGCTGAGCTGGCTTCCCATCCCCTGCGCCGAGTGCTCGCGCTGGGGCGAACGCTGGCAGCGCCTTCACGCCGCGGTGCATCACATTGCCAAACCGGCTGGCTGCCGCGAGAGCGACCGGTGCTGCTCGTCTACTGGACGTGCGAGCCTAGCTCTGCGGCGAGCAGGTCCTGAGTCCACCGCAGACTTCTGGCTGCATCGCATTGAGGCGCCGGCGGCAGCGGTGGCCTGGGACTGCCGCAATCTCGCAGAAGAGGCAGTCTCAAATGGTTTTGCGCTGGACGACTTTGCCGCCAGTTGTCTCAAGCGGCGGGATGCCGGAGCGTACGCACACAAGTGGGGCGTCAAGCTGCAGGAGGTGCTCCTCGACCGGACCCAACTCCGCAGTTGCGTCGTGTGCTCCATCAAGCTCGACGACTTGCTCAGACGCTGCCCAAGCCTCCTGCGTCAAGCCCAGGCTCTGGGACGCCAACTGCGCCACTGCGCGGCCGAGCATCTGGGCGAGGCCGCGCCCCGACGCTTGGACGCCTGGCTCGGCTTCCCCATGCATTACGTGTTGGCCGAGCTGCAGAACATGCTCTTCGAATGGCACCTGACCACGGCAATGCGCTTGCAGACCGGCATCGCTTTCAAGCAGGATTACCTTGTTTGC